ACCGTTTCCATGTGGGCACTGGGCCAGCTGAGTACGGTACCAGCTCCCAGGGCTCCAGCCCATCCAGGCTGTTCCTGGCTGTGTCCCAATGGCCACCTGCTTATGCAGCCAAGTATACTCTGGCTGTAAGCCACCTGGCCATCTGCAGGCCTCCAGCCTTGGACTTGCCCTTGCATGACAACAAGGTCTCTGTGCCACTAGGAACATAGCCACAGGGGATTGGAGGACCCATCGTGCTAAGTTGGGAACTGCAACTGTCAGCAGACAGGATTGGCTGGGGAAGAGGGAGAGGCCAGGCACACAACGAAAGGGCAGGCGAGGGTTCGAGTTTCTTTTAAAAGTCCTCCCTCCATATTCTGATCACAGTGTTGAGTTTCATTTACTGGCTGAAGAAGGGTGTTTATAAGATGAAGGCTATAGAAAGGTGGACGGCTGTGCAGCTCCGTGTGATTTTCCTGGGCATGCAAGGGCGCTCACCTCCTGGTCTCTGCCTCTCCCTGGCTACAGGACCCCCCTGTGGGTCCCATAATCTTCCAAAAATCTCCTTTACTGCTTAAATCATCTGGAGTTGTTTTTAGGTGTTTGCAGCCAAGGTCCCTGGCCAGGACACACCTGGAGCCTCACAACGATGGCTTGGCTGTTGAAGCCCAGTCTCAGCATCATTGTGAGGCTCCTTGATAAACTGTCCCATCGACAGGTTAGACAGGAGGGGACTGTAGCGTTCCACAGCCCAGTAAGGAGACTACAGTGAGCAACTCATCACACATTTCAGCACTAGCGATTGAGCTCAAAGCCTCTCACACGCTAGGCAAGTGCTCCACCACTCAAGCCACACCTCCAGCTGACCTCAAACTCTCCATCCTCCCGATCTCTGCCTCCTGAGTAGCTGGGATTGCAGGCATGCGCCCCTGGCACCTGGCAGAAGAGGATTTTAAATGTTCCCAACACAAAGAATGATAAATGTTTGAGTCAACAGATATGCTAATTACTCTGATTTGATCATTATGAATTCATCTACATGTATCAAAATATCACACAGTGTCCCTCCAAAAAATTTTTTAAAATAAAAAAAGGAGCCAGCAGCAGTTGTTCTTGCCTGTGCTCCTAGTCACACAGGAGGAGTTCAAGACTAGCCTGGGTAACATAGCAAGACCCCATCTCAAAAACAAGCAAAAACAAATAAGATGCTCAAACTTGAGCACATAGATTCACAAATGCTGAGGTGGCAAAGCAGTATCTATGTAAGGTTTCATTTTATGGAAAAATACTAGGAATATCTAGGATAGTTAATAGTTACTACCTCTGAATAGACAGTTGTGGTTAACTTTAATTTAAAAATTGTTAGCTGGGTGTTGTCATGCATGCCTATGATCCCAGCACTCAGGAGGATGAGGCAAGAAGACAGAGAGTTCAAGGCCAGCCTGGGCTGTCTCCAAAAAAAGCAAACAAGAAAGATTATCATTAGTTCACTCTTCTGTATTTCCTAACTTCCCTACAAGTTATGAGGTATGTGTTAAAAAGGTAAAATAAATAAAGCTTTTCTTCCCCAGGGCCTTTTCCCTTACGTCGCCTGCCTGGGATGAGCTGGGATGAGCTGGGATGAGCTGCGATCCCTCAGTAGCTGGCCAGGCTGGACGCTGGCAGCAGGGGGCTGGCCCATTCTGCCCTGGCTGTCCAGGCATGCGGGACATGCTGCCCTTGGGAGCTCCCTGGGCACTCATAAATGCCTCGTAACTGTGAGGCATGGTGGGAGACAAGACTGCCAACGCAGCAGTCCTGCTTTCTTAGGGGACAGTGGGGGCAGGGCCGGGCGAGGTCCACAGAGGGCTGGCGGTAGGAGGCATTTTCCTTGTTGCAGCCTAGCCATTAGACTGAAGCCCTGCTCCCCAGAGCTCCCTGTTCAACCTGCCCTGGCCACAGGGTGGAAGAGGGAGGTGGTAGGAAGGAGGTGGCGGGGGCATTTGCCCAGGTGGATGCCTGCCTGCCTGGGGGTTAAACATGGAGTTTGGGCAGCCCTGGGTGCAACCCTGCCCCTGCTTCCCAGCAGCATAGCCCACACTTACCCCTCGAGGACAGTCCCTTCCTGTCAAGGCAGTGGTTCTCACCTGGGGCAACTCCATCCCGGACTTGGCTATGCTATGCCCAGTCACCTCTGGATGCCAACACTGGAGCCAAAGTGCTCAGGACACCTCATCTCTGCCACTAAGAATTATCCAGCCCCCACCCACATCAAGGATGTCAAGACAGAAAAGCCAGTCCCAGGTGAAGGCCAGGGTTAAGGTCACAACGTGTGAATAGGGCTGTTACTATTATGGTCCCAGCAAGGATGTCAAGACAGAAAAGCCAGTCCCAGGTGAAGGCCAGGGTTAAGGTCACACACGTGTGAATAGGGCTGTTACTATTATGGTCCCAGCAGTGAACTAGGAGCCTTCTTCCCTGTGTCCTGCAGAGCAAGATGTCAGGACGTGAGCTGGGGACGAGGGACACCATTAGAGTTGAGGCTGGTCTAGGAGTTCTGCTTTGATGACCTTGTTTTCTCCTTGTCCTCCTGGTCTCCAAGATGTTAGAGTTTTCCAAATGGCCACTGGCAACTTTCCCTCCACCCGCTGGTGGAGGTCAGGGCCCACGCTGCATCCTCGGGGACTGGGGTGCCACTCTGATTTACAGGGCATTCCCCTGCCCACTTGCTCACACAAAGACTAGTCCCGGGGATGCTGCCACGCAGGGCCCAGTGCAGAGAGGGCAGGAAGGATGGGGCATGTGCCCCCTGGGGCTCCCTCCTCTCTAATCCCTTCAGAGTGTCCTGAGGACACACCCAGATGTCCTACAGGGGGTGTGTGGAGTTGGGCCATGGCCTCTTTGCAGGAGGGTACCTCTGCCCCCACTGAAGCTATGTTAGCTGGCAACAGCCCCCAGCCTGCCACTTCTGTGCTCATGACGAGCACAGTGCTGGAGGGCATTTATGCTCCAGTCCATGGCACCCATCTCTGTGGGCCAGGCCAGGCTGGGCTTCCCCATCCCCTCTCCCAATCCCCGTTCCCCTAACAGATTTTCCTGAGGATCACAAATCCACACACCTCATCCCCGCTCCTGCTCTGCTTCTAGGGCAGGGGGACAAGCCCTGACTGTGTGGCTCTGATGCTGGGGAACTCTCATAGGCCTGCATCCTGATGACCAGCAGGAAGGTGGCGGTGGTCAGCCTGCCCCTCACTCCCCTAGTAAAGGCAGACTCAGTCTTATTCTGGAGAATGGTACCGCTGTCCCTGGTCTGTGTCATCCGTGTTGTGTGCAGGGTGTTGTGGTTTCTCTCTGGCCTCAGGGGACCGAGGGACTTGGATGCCAAGCTAGGAGGGCTTGGAACTTAGGAACTGGTAAGTCTGCACGGGACAGAAATCAGGAACCCCAGCCTTTGTGTCATATCCTTTATTTTTTCTCACACATTCAGAAGGGCAGGCAGCAGCCCCGTTGGTGTCCACAGCTCAGCTAGGTCTTCGGAGAAGCAGCTTCTGCCTCCTGGCTCCACCATCCCCAGGGCTCCCCAGGGGGATGCACTCATGGGGTGCCAGATAGCTCCTACCCCTGCCCTACAGAAGGAACGCCAGGGCAAGGGGTGGGAGAGAAAAGCCATGGGACAACATGGCCATCTGAGGCTTTGCTGGGTGGTGAGGAGAGGCTTTTAGGAGCTTTCTGGAAGCCCCATCCCTCAGTCCTGTTTACATCTCTTTGGCCAGAGCAGTGTCACATGGCCACTCCTATCTACAAGGAGCCCCAGATGTAAGTTTTATTTTACCAGGGCACTTTTGTCCCTCTAAGTGGGGTTCTGTTAGTAGGAAGAAGGTAGGGATGGAGCCAGGGAACCCATGGGGACCTGATAAAAAGGCACTTTCTTGGGGCCTGGGATCTGAGCCCTGCAACCTGAAGCAGGGGATGGAGCTGTGAGAGGCCAGTAGGGGGCGGCATGCAGCCTCAGTGGTTTTGTGAGAGGCCAGTAGGGGGCGCATGCAGCCTCAGTGGTTTAATAACCAACCAGTCATAGCTCCTGGCCTCTTCTGTGCTAAAATCTCTTGCTATTCTTAAGGCCCAGGTTCACTCAGCTCCCTTCTAGCTTTGCTTCTTGAGGGAAGGGATCCCAGGTCTCAGCTTCCCAGCCTGCAAAGAGCAGCAGCTGTTAGGAGCCAGTGCAAAGGGACAACTGGCAGGAGCAGTGGGCTCAATTAGGAACCATGACAGGGGCCATGGGGCTGCTCAGGTAGGAGGAAGCTGGACCTCCTTCTCAACAAGTGGCAGGAAGGGTGGCCCCCTCCCCCCAAGGACTAGAGATGCCGGGCGAAACCGTAGAGTCCTGTTGGGTCCTTGTGTACAAAGTGCCTGTTGATAAACCCCAAGTTCTTTGGAGCATTCTCTCGTGACTTTCAGGCTGCCCCTGTCTCCTTTGGCACTTCCTCCCTGGTCTTCAGAAGGAAAGGGTCACTTGGGATGTATCTCTGCAGTGTCCACTTCAGGACATTCTGGCCAGCAGGGGGCTCTAACCAGCCAGGTAGGCAATGGCCCCGACAACAGCTGCAAGTTCTGTGTAACCTGACATTGGACTTGAGCTCCAGGGCTAACAGGTCTGAGATGACAACTATCCTGGACGCCACAGGGACCGATTACAAACCAGGACATCAGTTTCAGTCTCTGAGAATTCTCCCTCAGTCATTTCCCTCTGGCTTCTGTAGCAAAATGCCAAGATGTTCTGGATTTGGGGGTGAGGGTGGGGAGAGAGGGAGGCAACCTCTCAGTTTGGGGAAGCTTCTATCACCAGGTCACTAGCAGCTTAGCTGAGTCCTCTGACTCAGCCCACCAGGAGGAGGACTGCTTGCTCCAACCCGTGGAACAGCCTGGGGAGGTGGCAGCTGTTTCTTTAAGGCTATTTTGTGGGTTTCTCCTTCAACCCAAACCTGCCTGGTGCCTGCCCGGTGTCAGCCGTCAGCCAAGAGAGAAAGAAAGCAGGCCGGGGAGGCAGCAGTGAGCACTGTTTACTCTGTCCGGTTATACACCATCAGCCACCGCAGTGACCAGCTCCCACCCGAGGGGACAGGGAATGCAAACAAAAATAGTTCTCTACAAAACAAAGTTTCCGCCCCGCCCCCAACCCTTCTTTCTGCCCCCTCCCCCAGACGGCGAGTTCCTTGGTTACCAGGCCTGGGGCCTGGTGGGTTGCAAAGGAAAATAAAGAAAGAATATAAAAGAGAATCAAGTCAGCGACCGGAGTCCGGGTCCGCTGGCTGGTGATGACCCAGGGACGGGCGCAGGGGGTGTCTGCAACAGTTCTGTGTGTTATGTGAGGTTGGGGGCAGGACCTGGGGGTGTTGGGCTGAGCAGCATTTCTCCCGACCCCCCGTCTCACCAGTAGCAACAAAAAAAAAAAGAAAGAAAGAAAGAAAAGAAAAGAAAAAGAAAAAGAAGGATGGGGCGATGGGTGACATAACCAAATAAATCAAAGTCGCAGGCCGCCGGGCCAGGGCCCCACAGCGCCCCCTGCGGTGCAGGGAGGGCAGTGCCGGGCGGGCACGAGCGCCGGGGCTGGAGCGGGGAGGGCGGGAGGACTCTGCTGAGTAGCACCTGGGAGCAGCTGGGCCGCACCCTTGTCGCCGCCCGGCCTCGGACGCGGGCCCTGGGACCCCCGGGCGAGGGTCCCCCGGGCGGGCTCAGCAGCCCAGGCGTGCGGCCAGCTCCAGCAGCAGCAGGCAGCCGAGCAGGGTGGCGGGGCGAGGGACGGCCCCGGGCGCGCGATCGCAGTCCAGGCCGCCGTCGTCATCGGCCAGGTCGCAGCGGGGCTGCTCGCAGCGCACGCCGGTGTAGCCGCGCGGGCAGGCGCAGCGCTGGTTCTGCAGGCAGGTGCCACCGTTTTGGCAGAGCAGCTGGTCGTCGTCGCACACGTTGGCTGCGGGGCGGAGGAGGGGCCATTGACGCGGCTGGTGGCTGATGCATCCCCCCACGTTGGAGCTTCCGCGACTGGGATATGGCAACCCCAGGGCGAGGCCTGAACCAAGGGGCCTGGGAGGCTCAGGACACACTTGGTGAGAAACGTGCCTGCGTGGATGGCAACCATGGCCGAAGAGCCCTGGCCCCTGCCTACCCCCACCAGTGCCCGGCTCTCTCCGCTCCCGCGGCGTCTGGGCGCAGTGCGTCAGGCGCACGTGCTGTCCGGTCTCCAGAGCTTTGATCATGCTGTTCCACGAGCTTAGGCTTTTCCACCCTTTGCCCGTGGCTAACTTGTCCCCTTAACCCCCACCCCGGGCTCCGCCAGGCCTTCAGTTCCTCCCCACCAAACCTTCGGCTTTCAGCCAACTCCAACCGCTCTCAACCAGCCCCTAGTTCTGCCTCTCGGGGGCACCCACCTACACGGACTCCGCCCCCTTGACACCAGGCCACGCCCACCCAGTTCCTCCCACTGCCCACGGACCCCGCCCACTGTTGCATCAGGCACCACCCACCGTGACCCCTCCCGCCTGCCGGAACCCTGTCCCAGTTAGCACCAGACCCCGCCCACTATGGACCCTTCCGGCGCCCTGACCCCGCCCCTCGCTCAAGGCCCCGCCCACCAGGGCTGGCGCACTCACGGTAGCAGCCCTGCCTCCAGTAGTGCGTGGGGAGGCAGTCGTCACACTTGGGCCCTACCGCGCCCTCGCGGCACTCGCAGAAGCCCGTCTCGTTGCACCGGTCGTGCACGGAGCCGATCTGGTTGCAGTTACACTCTGAGCGGACACGTGCACAGCGTGCTTGGTCAGGGCGACCTGTGGGCGCTGCGTGTGGGACCCTCCCCTCCCCTGGCGTCCCTCCCAGCTGGATCTCCCTGGCGGTGACCCAGAAAGCACCATAAAATTTCATCTTCCCTCCCTGGCATCCAAACACCGCCTTCCTCCTCTCTAGTGCTGGCACTGTGTGCCTGGACCAGTCCCTTTCCCTGTCTGGGCAGCTGGAGGGACTCTTGAGCCTTCCCAGCCCCAAACTGCTGAGTCTGACAGGTGGCAGGCGCCTCATCGGGTGGCCATTAAACATCTGTCCAGGAGGCTGTGGCCTGTGTGGGGCTGTGGGGCGATGCCTCCGCTCATCGCAGGGTGAGGAGTAGCCTCAGAGGCCTTCTGCTGCCCACCCCAGCTGGTTTCCTGGGCCTCTGCTCCGTGGAAGGGGGCAAGTGTCCATTCACACACACACCCACCCTCCAGTCCTTGAAATCCAGTACTGGGCCTGGGGCTGAGTCAAGACAGGGAAAGAAGGGGGCACCTCTAATCTGACCCAGAGGCCCGGCTGGGCCCTGGCAGCTGGCTCCATGACGTTGGCGGCAGGATTGTTTTGAGCACTTTAGAGCTGATGGGATTATCTGAAGGCCATGGCATGATTCAGGCCGACAGCTCCAGCTTTGCAGCAGCCCCATACCAGAGCGGGCCTGGTGTGTGTGGGGGATGGGCATGGGGGCCTGAGGGGCTGGTGGGGGGAGGGGCAGTACCCCAGGCCCAGGGCCTGCATGGATTTTGTCCACCAGAGCGTTGGAGAAAGTAGACCAGGTGCCTCCCTCTACAGGTAATTCATTTCTTGTGTTGTATTGTTTTTTGTTTTGGGTGCAGTGCTGGGGATCGAACCCAGGGCCTTGCGCATGCTAGGCAAGCTATACCCCCAGCTGGGAAAGCATTTGAAGGGAAGCTTCAGCAACAAAAGATAGTTGACAGCCTTTCCCCTGGTCCACCTCCTGATTTTACAGTGGGAGCCCAGAGAAGAGAAGGGACTTGCCCAAACGCACACAGCAAGGCCAGCTCTAGAATGGAGACTTTGACTCTGACTACTGGCTCTGTGGGGGCACTGTGTGGGCACTACTAGTGGCTTCTGTCCCTCGAGGCACCCAGCTGGAGAGGGCCCTGGGACTGGAGTCTCTGCACTTCCCCAGGGGTCTCCAGACCCACCCAGCACCGCCCTACACGAGCAGGGTGTCCCTGGTGCTGTGCCCAGTCACTCACCAATGCAGACGTTCTCGTCATCCAGCTCAGCCGAGCCATTTCGGTAGTAGCCCAGGCGACAGTGCTGGCAGTGCTGGCCTCGGGTGTTATGCTTGCAGCTGACACATGTCACCACGTTCAGGAAGTCAATGTAGCTGCAGCGGTTGGAGTGGCCGTAGCACTCACAGTCTGGTCAGCCAAGTGGGAAGAACACCAGCAGTCAGTGAGTATTTGGGGAAACTGAGGCACAGGGAGATGAAGGACACACCCCGGACATGCGGGGAGTGTGGGAGGCGTCTTTGGAAAAGGACCTGGAAGGTGCCCTGGGCCTCAAACACTTCCATAGCTCTTAGGAAGAGCTGGGCCTGCCAGCTTTAAGGAGAACTGTGGAGCCTATGGGCAGGGAACCAGGGAGGCCAGCAACAGGCAGTACAGGGCTGGGTACCAGGGCAAAGTGCTCTCTGAAGGATGCCCACAGCTGGGGTGGTTAGAAGGTGATTCATGGAAGGAGGATGGGTCATGCTGCCAGGCTGTGCACTCAGGGAGGGCAGCTCCAGGCTCCCACTCCCCACCCATCCTTGGGCTCCACGGATGAAGGCATGCATGAGTGATGGGCAAGATGGAAGGCAGGAGCTTCCTCCCCATGCTGCTTTGGAAGAGGATTGGGAGGAAACTGTTCTCTACTCCTGTCCTGAAGAACCTTCCCCCTCCTTTTTTATGCACTACTGGGATTGAACCAGGGTCTTGTACACAATAGGCAAGGGCTCTACCACTTGAGGTATATTCCCAGCCCTTTTCTTTGTCTTCAGTTTTTTGATACAGGGCCATGCTACCTTTTTTTGCCCAGGCTGGCCTTAAACTCACAATCCTCCTACCTCCACCTCCCAAGTTGCTGGAATTACACTCGTGAACTACCACACCCTGCAAGGGCCCTTTTGTCTCACTCAGCCTGAGCCTTCCACAAGTTTGGTTGCCACCAGAGTACCAGCTTCTGCAGGCATCTCTTCCCCTCCCCCAGCCCTGATCAGACTCCTGGCTCTCACTGCTCCTAGAGGCTTGAGGCTCCACATCAGGAAAAGCCACCTCCGTGCCATGGATCCATCACCCCCACCTACATGTGTTTCCCAGGCCAGCCCTCCCGATGGCTCTGCCAACTCCCATGACTGCCTGGGGCGAGGCTCCCAGGGCTTGAAGGTGGATCCCAGGACATCATAAAGCAGCAAGGTTGGGTAAGAAGGGCCTTCCCTCTGCAAGAAGAGGGGGTTGTCTCTCCTAAGGGAGTCAACACCCCCTTCCTCCTCCACTGAGCATGAGAGCCAGGAGGAAGAACCCTGGTCAGCCTGTTGAAACTCCACCTTACTTCCGTCTCTAAAAGATCCCACTTCCCTCTTGTCATGGGAGAGGGAGGCACCAATGGGGTCTCAGTGGTCAAGGGCGTGAGGGACCCTGGAGAAATGCCTATAAGATGTGGGCCTACAAGATAGTGGGTTTTCCTTCACCTCTGCCCTCCAGACACAACAAGGAGGCAAGGTATCCTTCAAGTGTCCCAAAGAACAGTGTTGGTGACCCAAGTGTCCCAGATTCTGCTCCAACCAAGACAAGCCCCTGGGCCACACCTCCCAGGGGAGCCAGGACAGACTATTTCTGGAGGCTGCTCTGCCTGCCCACTGTGCCCCCATTGGCCTCTGACTCATACCTGCTCCCAGATCCCTTGGGGCTGGAAGGCCAGAGGGAAGAGAGACTGTTCTAACCTTGACCCAGCTACTCCGGGAGGGTTTTCTGAGCCAGCTCGGATAAGGGCCTCTGCCCTGCATCGTTTTTCTCCAGTGGAGGTTGAAAGAGATGTTGGAGTGAGGGGGGGGAGGAGGGAGGGCGCTGGCCTTCCTCTTACCTGGGAATTCTTCAATGGGCATCACTTGATGAGATTTGGGCTTGGGCTGGAAAAGTTCGGAGCCCTTGGCAGGGGCAGGGGCAGCAGCAGGGATGCCAAAAGCTTAGAGAGATGAGAAAGGAGCTCTGTGGTCTGCCACCATCCACCTGCCCAGGACGGGCTGCCTGGGCTAAGGGAAAAGCTGAACCAAGGCTTCAGAGTGCCCCAGGCCAGCTGTGGGGCAGCTTTATCACCTGCTCAGGTCGGAGGCAGGGAGAGGCCACTCTTAGCATCAGGGAGCCGAGCCTCTCTCAGAGCTTGGGGTTGAATCACCTTGTGGAGATGATTCAGCACAGGCAGGAGCTCACAGAGCAGCCCTGCCTCTGGTCCCTCTGAGACCATGCACACGTCTGGGTCACTCCCCACACACCCTGCCTGTCCCCTGACATCCCCACATGGTGCTAAGTCATTTGCTGATGCAGAACGACTTTTGGCTGATTGAAAACAATGCTTCACGTGCTCATCTGCTCTTGCCCTTCCTCTCCTCCCACCTCCCCAGGGCATCAACTCCAGACTCTAAACCTGGCATTAAACACTGCCGTCTCCTTTCCTTTTTGAAGACACTTCCCTGCTCCAGCTAAGTCCTTTACCATCCCTGGATTCTCACGCACAAGCATCATCAAACCAAGAGTGCAGCAGGTGCCTATCTTCCACTGGGGAAGTCCTGTAACTGGGGATAAGCATGCCATGGTTCCCGAAATAAGTGTCACTCCCTCGCTTCCCTCTGGGAGTCTGTAGCACCTCAGTGGGTCCAGTGCAGGGAAACGACAGCTTCAGCTGTCCTCTCTGTCTCATCACTTGAGAGGATGTTCTGTTCAGGGGTCTCTAAGGGGTCAGGAACCAAACTTCTGTGACCTGCCCTAATTGTGCAGCCACTAGCCAGCAGAGGGTGCCCAAAGCCCTGTTCGGGTGCTGAGTTGGGATGGGAGGGGAACTTCAGGTGCTGGACAGGTGAGTGGCGCCGGGGCAACAGGGCTGGGAACAGGTGAGCTGGGGCTGGGGACAGTCTCCCTTCTTGGAGGGCCAGGTTGGCCCATGTGTTTCCTGTGTTCATCTGTGACTACAGACTAGCCCCTGTGTATCTCATCCCTGCAGTGAGACACTGAGGCTCTTGACTTGGTCTTGTGCCTTCCACAATCCCTCCCCGCCCTCGTTTAACTGGCACACTGCCCGCTTTTTCAGGTTCACTGCCTCTCTGTCCCATTGCCAAGCCTTTGCCCAGGCTGGTCCTACCACCTGGAATGTGCCACTTTCTCTCTTTATCTCCTTCCGGTCACCTCTGTCCTGTTTTATCTGCCTCTTCTCTGACCCTCTCTGGCTGCTTCAACTGCCCAGGTGTCCCGTGAATGGGGTAGGAAGGACTCCTGTAATAAGGGACATCTCCCCCTGACACCAAAGCCTTTGGTGGTGGACAGGGCTTGGGTTTGGTGATGTCGAACTGGACTCTCCAAACAGGTGAGAGCGGGGGAACAGGTAGAGCTCTCAGGCCCATTCCCTGTTGCGTCTACCCAAGTCTCTCTACTCCTCCCCTCAGTTCTTGGGGTCCTCTTCCCAGCCCAGGTCCCAACCACATATACCTGCTTCCTCCACTACAGAGGAAGGGGCCCAAGGGTCTAAGATCCAGCTTCCTAGGGTTTGGGCCCATCCCAGGCCCTACCCTCATACCTTCTGCACTGGAGGACACCTGGGGCCAGCGAGGGCTCTCCCCAAGGGGGGCAGCCATAGATGGCTTGGTCCACTCTTGGGAGGAAGAAGAGAAGAAACCAAGTCATGTGAGATGTGAGACCCCCAACCCCCCACTCCCCTTATAAGAAGCAGCACTATAAAGGAGAGGCTATCTACATTGGCTAAAAATGCACTGCGGGGGCAGCACCTATACTACTGAAGCCTGTGGAGGCAATGCACACTTGAAGCCAGACAAGAGGGAGCTCGGGCCTTTCTTCACCGGGACACCTGAATTTGGGGTCTCTTCCCTGGCTGGGTGGAATCTGATTGAAAGGTAGAGTTACACCCATATCTGAGCTCAGACCTCTCTGAATTAGCTCTCTAAATGCTGGAAAGGATACATATGTCGCCAAGATATCAGACATGTCAAGAAGTGTCCTGGAAGGCCTCCTGTCCAGCCCCGGTGCAGGGACTGGAGTGTCTCCCAGTGTCTGAGCAGCCTCCTGACTCCTGGTTTGAACTCCAATGTGAGTCAACCCCCCTGCACAGTAGTGCTCACTTCCCAGACACATAACAAGGGACGTGGGGCTGGCGGAGGCAGGCACCACTCTATCTGAATTCCAAGGACAAACCCAGAGGGACTGGGGAGGGGTCTGATGTCTTCTGCCTCTAAAAGAGGTTGATGGGAAAAGAAAAAGAAAAAGTACCAGCTAAAAAGCGTGGAGACTTCCCAGCTGGGAGCCGGGAGCCCTTGGACATCCAACTGACATTAACATAGTGTTCAATGAGGAGACAAAGCCGCAGGACCCAAATTGGCAAGGGTTTAATTAGAACTGTGGTAAAAGCAGCCCTGGAGGCATTTTGCTTTGGAGCCTGGCTGCCCCCACCTCTGTTGAAGCCAGGAAGATGGGGGGGGGGCCCAGCCCCACTTTCCACCTGCAATCCGTGCCTGTCAAACAGCTTGACATTGGCAGAGGGGAGAAACATCTGGGCCAGGGGTTTGGGGACCCAGCTGGTCTCCAGCCAAATAGGCTAAAGCACCTGTTGGAAGGCATCCAGAGAGACTCAGGGTCTTTCTGAGCGCTGGGTCTGGGGCAGGAATGTGTCTCCAGGGACACGCTAAGGTGCTTGGGAAGAATGCTCTCGAGGTGGCCTATGTCATTGCCAAGACCAGATGAAGGCCCCGTCTGGTCCTTCAGGGCCGCCGTGTAAGCCAGGCTTAAAGGTGGCACCACCTCACAGCACCTGAGGCCTGGAGGCCGTGGGATCAGGTGGCAGAGGGGGCAGGTAGCAGCTGAAGTCAGTGAGCCCCGAGCTCCAGCCCAGTCTGTGTGTCATCGTAAACTTGGGACTTTGGGCAGCTGCTTCTCCCTTTCTTTCCTTTTTCTTTTTAAAAACAGCTTTATTGAGGTATAATCTGCATGCTATAAATCAGCTGCATCTTCCTAAGTCTCAATCCCCTCTCCGAGGGACTAGGAAAATACCAGCCTCCACCCTCCCAGAGCTGGAAGCACGGCTGTGACAGCACCGTGAGCTCTTAGCTGGCTCTTGCCACCTGCAGTCGTTGTCACTGCGAACAGTATGGACTGGGTGTGGGTTTGGCTGCTATACAGGAGGTGGGAACCCCCAGACCCGGAAGGCTCGGCCACTGGCAGTGACCTTGAAGCCAGCTCTTTCCTTCAGTGCTTCTGCTGCCTGGCACGGAGCTAACAGCATTCCCGTCAAATGTTTGCTAGTGTGGTCTGGAGGAGGTCCTGCTTCCTGCTCCCCCCCAGTTCAAACCGCACCCCCTCAAGAGTCACCGCTGTGGCCCCTGACTCCTCGTCTTTAACTCCCAACTTTGCTGCCTGTTTTGTTTCCCTCACACCAAAGCACAGGCAGCTTCGAAACTGGATTCAGGGTTCCTCAGCGCTGTGTGTGTTTTGTGTGTGTGCATGTATGTGTTTTGTGAGTGTGTGTGCGCGTTTTGTGTGTGTGTTTTGTGAGTGTGTGTGCATGTGTGACTGTGCATGCGTGCATGTGTGCGTGTTTTGTGAGTGTGTGTGTGCATGTTTTGTGTGTATGTGTTTTGTGTGTGTGCGTGTTTTGTGAGTGCATGTGTGTTTTGTGAGTGTGTTTTGTGTGTGTGCATGTGTGTTGTGAGTGTGTTTTGTGAGTGTTGTGTTTTGTGAGTCTGTGTTTTGTGTGTTGTGTGTGTGCTCATGTGTGGTTTTTGTGTGTGTACGTGTTTTGTGAGTGTGTTGTGTGTGCGTGTGTTGTGTGTGTTGTGTGTGTGTTGTGTGTGCATGTATGTGTTTTGTGAGTGCGTGTATGTTTTGTGAGTGTGCATGTTGAGTGTGTTTTGTGAGTGTGTGTTGTGTTTTGTGTTTTGTGAATGTGTGACTGTGTGCATGCATGCGTGTGCATGTATGTGTTTTGTGAATGTGTGTGCATGTGTTGAGTGAGTGCATGTGTTTTGTGAGTGTGTGTGTTTTGTGAGTGTGTGACTGTGTGCATGCGTGCGTGTGCATGTATGTGTTTTGTGAGTGTGTGTGCATGTGTTGAGTGAGTGCGTGTGTTTTGTGAGTGCGTGTGTTTTGTGAGTGTTTTGTGAGTGCGTGTGTTTTGTGAGTGCGTGTGTTTTGTGAGTGTGTTTTGTGAGTGCGTGTGTTTTGTGAGTGTGTTTTGTGAGTGTGTTTTGTGAGTGCGTGTGTTTTGTGAGTGTGTGTGTTTTGTGCGTGTGTTTTGTGAGTGCGTGTGTTTTGTGAGTGCGTGTGTTTTGTTTGTGCGTGTGTTTTGTGAGTGCGTGTGTTTTGTGAGTGCGTGTGTTTTGTTTGTGCGTGTGTTTTGTGAGTGCGTGTGTTTTGTGAGTGCGTGTGTTTTGAGTGCGTGTGTTTTGTGAGTGTGTGTGTGTGAAAGTGGGAGTGGAGGAGAGAGAGTGCCTGGTCTCCCACCCGAACAGACCAGTGTGTTCGGAGGCAAACACAGCCCCTTCCCCTTCCTGACTATTTTCGCTCCTGTCTGCCCGCCACTCCTGAACTGCCAAGGGCAGGGCCTGCTAGTGTTTGAAGCTGCTAGTGACCCGTCCTCCACCTGGGGTGGGGGCTCCCCCGAGCCCCTGTGGAGAGGGAAGGTGCAGAGAAAATGGAGCCGCCCACTGAAGAACTGGGTGAGCTGGCCTGAGGGATTTCCTCAATACTGTCACCATGGTCTGGAAAGGCTGGGCACCCCACCCCCAGCCAGTAGAGTCCAGATGAGACCAGAGTTCTATCCTAGCACCCCATACCTCGAGGATGCACACATCCCACCTTTGGAGAAGAAAAAGAATCAGCCAGGGTTCTAAGCCTGTCTGTAGCTGCAGACCCGAGGTGGGCCTCTCACTAGGCCAGCGACATGGGGCAGGAAGTCTGCCCCTCCCCCAGCCCACAGGTGCAGTCCATCTCTCACAGAGGCTTCCTGCTGACTGGTGCTCCCACAGGCTTGCCCCCTTCAACCCCTGCCCTGACTTCCCACACTGGCCACTACTGCACAGAGCAGCCTTGCTGCCACAGGCACCCTCCTTCCAGGTCCCCCTGTCCCCTTGCCCACACTGGTCTTGGGGTCCTTCCTGGCAATGCCTTGTTGGGCAGGAAGAAGAAGATTCTGGGAGCTTGAACTGATGCCTGGAACCCCTGGCTGGGGCTCTGTAACTCGGTGACAGGTTGGCCCGGATGGCCTGGGGCCCCTTGGCCCGTGCTTTTGCGGCTCTAGGGTGCTAGTGCTTTCTACTCTAAGAGCAAGCGCCTGTTGTCCCCAGGGCTGAGAGAGGCAGGGTCTCGTTTACAGGCAGGAGAGGGTGGGACAACAAGGGTCCCTGGCTGTACTCTGGTACCCACCTGTGGGGCGTGGGCTGCTGGGGGCTTTGGGGGCCTGGGCAGTAGACGTGGAAGGGGTAGAAGTGGTGAGGCACCCCCTCATGGCCTCAGTGACCATAGGGGCTTTGGGGGTGGGGTCTTTCTGGGACCTGCTGATGCCTGGTGAGAGACAGGAAAAGCAAGAGAGGGTAGGGAGCTGGTGGAGGTGGAGGCACCCCAAAGAAGCCACTTACACAGATGATGGCTGTACAGACCAGAGTCCTGCAGGGTTCAGCTTCCTTCTGGCACCCTCTCTGCCCACTGGCATCCCAGTGGGGAGGGGCAGTCCTGCTGGGGAGGGACAGTTGGGGAGGGTGTGGCCCCATGGAGCCCCATGGTAACAGCATGCCCCAGAAGCATCTTCGAGTTTGGGGTCTGCCACAGCTGGCTGCTGACTCTTACAGCAGATGGCAAAGCCCTTTCAGGAGGAGAGAGGTGTGTGAGGCTTAAAAAAGCACTAGCGTGTCTTGCTTAGCATGGTGCCTGGTCCACCCAGTGCTTGGTGGACTGTCCCAAAGATGACTGCTGAGAGCCCATGGGCACCCACTCCAGTCACTCTCACCCTTCTCGTGAGTTCTCAGGACTCCTACACTCCTGCAGATGCCTCCCTCCAGGCTGGCATGTCCTGAGAGCTGAGTTGACCTGGATGACCAGAGCCTGGGAACAGTGACTTGCCCTCTCCGGCCTCCTGGCTGCCAGCAGCTCCTGCCCCCGGGCAGGCCGGCAGCGGGTTGGATTCTACCACTGGGTGGAACAGAAGGTCCCCCTATTCCTTCCTGGCAGAAGAAAGCACTCCCAGACTGGGTGTCAGAAGAGGCCCAAGTGATAAGAGGAGAAAGGAACCCTCCCAAGGATCAAGGGACCCACACAAAGTTTCCAACAGCTTTCCAAAGCAGCACTGATGAAGCTCCTGCAGACAACAGAGCCGCTGGGCTGTGGCCACAGCAGAGCTCCCAGAGGACACACAGAAGGAGGAGAGGTGGACAAGCGGATGGGCAGAATCAGAGGAGGGGGCGGAGAGGCCAGGCCCCGGCCCCTTCCTTTTCCCCACTGGCAGGACACAGAGCCGTGTTGTACTTACTGCCAAAGGCGGAGCCTGCAGCGGCACCTGCAGGGAGACAAGAGGGTCACAGAGCTGGCTGAGGAACACAGCCATTCCCTTTCTGCATAGGAGGGGGTGGCAGGACAGGGGAGCCCACTGAAGTGTCCATCCCTCTGCTGAAGGGAAGGGACTTAAAGGGCCTATGCACCTGCTGGGTCACAGCCACTGCTAACAGAGCTGAGAAGTAGCCTCTGGCACAATCTGCAGGGTCTCTCACTGCCGCCCTGAGATGGAGGGGCTGCTATTAGCCCATTTTTAAGATGGAGAAACTGAGTCTCAGAACTGCAACTTCCCCCTGGAACACTTTGATAAGTGCCAGCCTCTCCTATTGAATCTCAGTGCATTTCCTGTCTGGGAAATAGAAGAGTAGACAACTTATTGGAAAGCCATTGCAGTGGGTGCCCCATGTTGAGAGCTTCCTCACACCAGCCACTGTGTCAATGTTCCCCTGACAGGAACCACTTTGTCCTCACAACACCCCCTGAGGGAGTTTCCCCATGGTTCTGGTTCTGCAGATGAGGAGACAGGCTAGGCGTGAGTGGCCAAGGCAGCCTCAAGTCTGGGTCTTTCTGTCTTTGTGCATCTGTGTCTTGGGGATCAAGGAGGACTGAGATCACGGCTTGACCAGAGGCACTGCAGTCCCAGGGTAAGAACTGTCACTGTTCCAAAAGGAAGGAGCTGGTCTGGCCTCCCCAGGTGTTCCTGAGAAAGGATGTGTGGTGTTGGCAGTGGGATATGTGGCGCACTGGCCCTTCTGGGTGAGCCAAGGCTGTGGCCGGCAGGACAGTCAAGGGAGGCCTGGGAGGACAAGCTGTGGACACTTGACACTCACTCCTTCCCTTACCAACAGGTCTGGGCAGGCACCGTGTGAGGCACGAAGGACACCTTGGGGGGAGTGTGGGAGCCGACAGGCAAGGACATGCAGATAACTGGGACAGGACTCAGAGAGGCAAGGTGACCTCTGAGCTGGGCCCTGAGGATGAGGGAGCCACAGGGACAGAGTAGAGACTGTCCTGTCACAAGAGACTGTGGGTGTCCAGGGATGTGGACACAGGGCACTTCAGGTTGAAGGCGGTAAGGGAAGAGAAGTGACAAAGGGTAGGGGTGATCTCACAGGAGCCTTAGCGGGAGAGAGACAGCTGATCAGGTAGGCCTTTGTTCAGGGCACCGAGGGTTCTGAGGCAGGTGGGCACACAGGGGAGCACAGCCCTGGGCCTGCAGAGGGGAGACCCCGGCCCAGACAGAGGCAGGAGATGGAGGGAGGTGGGGGTGAGTGCTGGGAAGAGAGGGAGCTGGGTGAATATGGGAGAGGGGTTCCCGTCAAGGGTGACCCCCAGAATGGCCCAGTGTCTGGGTGCCACTGAGTGAGGAGGGGTAGGGGTAATAGAGGGCAAAGTTCACAGGGGCCTGTTTCAAGCTGCGTCTCCTTCACTGTCTCCTGGTTGCCCCAGAAGGTGTAAGACCAGGTGAGACAGCTGCAGGCTGAGAACACGGGCCGCCTTCAGCCTCAGCCCTACTCGTTGTCAGTCCAGAAGGAACCCCTCTTTCCTGGTGACATGTGGTGGTGGGGGTCTACTCCAGGGCCTCTCCCAAACAAGGGAGCCTTTAGCAGCCCAGCCCCACAGGAAGGAGAGGCTGAAGTCATGGCTGGGGGTCTGTGAGGTGGAGACAGTGGTCCTCCTAGGTGTGACCCACAGGTAGGAGCCTTGGTCTAGGCGTGGACGTGGGCAGACAGGAGTCCTTGCAGAATCCTCCCAGGAGCAAAAGGAGACAAGGAAAGAAAGAGCCAGAAGTAATGGGGTGGAGGCTGCAGGACAAATGGAGGGCAGGACTGCCAGTAAAAGAGGGAGTGACAGTGACTAAAGGAAGAGTTGAGGACACAAAGAGATGGGGCTAAGTAGCAGGGAGGAGGGGACCAGGCAGGGGGTGGGCTGTCAGTGTGCCAAGCAGTCTCTGTGTCTTTGAAGACCCTGAGTGCTGTGAGGTGCCTGGCAAGTCACCCCTTCAAAGGGCTGTCACAGTGCTGGCCTTGGCCCACTCGAGACAAGCCTGTCACGGCCTTGCACGGCTTTCGGCTTTGATCAGCCTAAAGCTGCATGAATCTTTCACAGGGAGGGAGGGCACCCAGATGGGACGGGTGGTCAGGAGCAGGAGCAGCTGACTAGCTCTGGATTTGGCATTGGGTCCAGGGCATGGCCTTGAATCACAGTGCTGGCTGTACTCACTGTAGAACTAGGAGGCCCTGTGTTGGCTAGGCCTCCATGTGCTCATCTGGAAGAAAAGTGGTAGTGACACAAGGTGTTTTGAGGGCAGGGCGTGTACCAGGCCCAACACAGCCTCAGGCATAAACAAAGCACCTGCCAGACGTCAGGGGGCTTCCGGGGTCAGGGAAGGGCTCACCATGGGGCGGCCTAGGACCTTCTCCACTTGTAGCCTAGGGACTCCCTGGGACCCAAGATTTCATGGAGACCCTCATAGCTTCTGCTGGGGACCTTGATGAGTGAGGATCCCCCAAAGGGTGTTCAAACACGTGTAAGCAAAGACAGCAGGTGGCTTGCCTAGCACTGCTGAGCCAGAGGCAGACCAGGACTGGGCTCAGGTGAGGACCTCAGGTGGCATCCTGCAAGATGGAATAACCAAGGGAAATATGCAGCATGTGGCACCATGTGACATACTGCAAATATCCCTTCGGGATGGGGCTACAGGCCCTGTTTGCCTGGAGGAGGGGCCCTGCCTCCCGGGGGTCTCCTGTCCTGCCTTCGGGGAGCAGGGGCGGAGAAAGGCTGAGCAACTTATCTGGGTTTCCCTGCCATGCCAGGGCCAGAAGGGCGGCTTAGGGTTCAGCTGGGGTCCCGGAGGGTCTTGTTGCAAGGCTTCTAACAAAATGCACATACATGCCCGTGTGTTCCTCTGTGGGCACGTGTGCGTGCACATGCCTGTGCCTGTCTGCTGGTGTATGTGTCTGCCCGTGCATGTGCAGCTGCTGGGGTAAAAGGCAGGAACCTGGGCTGCTCTGGCTCCCCTGGTTCAAGGGCACAGGGCACGGGGCGCGTACGTACAGGCGTTGGGAGAGCCATGGGGCAGCGGCAGGTAGGAGCCGGCACGCCAGGCCCGTGTGCGGAAATTCTTCCTGCACTTGCTGCAGTCAGGGCCGGTGGTGTTGTGTTCACACTCGCACTGCAGGCTGCCCTCGCGCACTGAGCACAGGTTGGCGTGCAGGTTGCACTTGCACCTGGGGAGACCCAGAGAGGCAGAGGTCAGGGGGTTTGTGGGCTGGTCGCCTGGTCCCTGAGGGAAGGACAGCCTTCAAGAGTGTCCAGGACAGTCCCTGGGACCCTGAAGGCCACAGCCCAACCTGCACCCACCAATTCCCAATTTTTGTCCTTTGGGACAAAAACGCCCCGATTTCCCCTCCCGTGGAGGGGTCCACAGCTCTGTGTGACCCTTCCCAGCCATGCTGCCTGGGACTCCAGGCTTTGGTCCTGTCCCTTTTCTGATGGTGGTTCCTGGGGTGAATTGTGAGACTCCCACATCCCAGATGCTATATTTGTAGCAGTGTGGCTCCGATCACCTTAGTTTGTGACTGAAGTGGGTTGACAGAAGCAAGGGCCACTCCCAGCCCCTTTTGCAGACAGGGACCTGGCCACAGCCTACACCTGCACCATAAGCCAGTGGCCTGCGCCCAGGCTCTCGAGGGCAACAGGGAGAACCCCAGCTCCCAGCCCTGTCAGCTCATCAGCACACGTATTATTCATTTGTTCATTCAAATATTTATAGGCAACTCGTTTTCTAAAAACTGGTAAATAAAGGCAAAGAATCGCACATTGATTCTGCCTGTCCTACATAAACTATACCTCGGGGTAACCAGGAGTGGAGAAGGGAAGGTTTCTTTTTCTGGAGCATTTCGTGCTAGAATTTGCAGTCCCTAATGAATGAAGGGCCCCAGGCACAGAGCAGCACCAGCCCAGAAAATCACAGAGACAGAGGGAGAATTTCCCATAGGAGAATGCACCCCCACCCGAAGCCAGCTCCCCAAAACTTGCTGAACTTGAATCAGATCGTCTCCACCGAAAATGCAGAGGATAGAGCAACACATTAAACATCACCAAGGGGCCACAGCTGGCACAGTCCAGGAAAGAAGGGTCGTTCAACAGGTGAATGGCAGAGGGTAGGGTCTGTTATGGAGGGAGGGGACCCAGATAAACAGAAACATCAAAGGCCTAGCAATGCACACAACCAAACAAATGGAACGTGTATTTATGGGACACTCATAAATTTGCATACTGACGATATTTAAGTGTGCTTGTGGCATTGTGGTTATGTTTCTTAGAGCCCTTGCTTTGTAGAGATGCAAACGGAAATATTTACAGATGAAATTATCTAACAACTGGGATTTGTTTCCAAAGAACACAGAGGACAGGGAGCACTGGGCAGAGACACTAATGACAACTGACGTAACAGGTGCATTGTGGTAGTCTCCCTCGCTTCTTTGGTATGTGTTGGAACCCTCCACAATGCAAAGTGACATAGGAGACAGTGCTCTGCCTTCTGATATGGGAGATTTCCAACACAGACTGTCAACATGTGCAAAAAGCAAATTGCACACCGATGTGCTTACAAGAATCCTCTTTTTACTAAAATATGCAAGGAAAAATACTTATAGGGCACCTGTTAAGTGGGGAGCTCTGAGCTGGAAACAGTGAGGAAGATGGTCCACAAGGCAGATGGGGTCCTTGCTCTGACGGGATATTGAGTCTAAATGAGACACAATTTTAAAAAGCCAGCGAGAGGGGGGCGGGAGGAAGGACGAGTAGGCAAGTCCAGGAGCTTTTAGGGCAGTGAAATGATTCCGTACGATACCACGATGGTGGAGAGGTAACACGCCTGTGTCAAAACTCCAGGACCTTAACGTAAACTGTGGACGTCAGTTAGCAGTCGCCTAACTAACGAACGCACCCAAGAAGGCACGGAGTTAGTGATACGGGAAACTGCAGAGGAGAGGGGTACACTGGAACTTTCTGGACTGTCTGATCAGTTTTTCTGTAAGCCAGCTCTAAGGATAATCCATTAATTAGTCAAGCCATAGCCACAGGACCCTCCAATTGTTCACTTCAGTTCTTCTAAGCGCCCAGGTGTTATGTGCAGGAGGAGGCAGGAACATCTGGATCTGCCAGGAGCGGGACAGGGTTCCTGGAAGAACGGTTTTAAACCAAAACCTGAAGGAGGGTCAAATATTGCCGGGCTAGAAGGAGAGAACCTTCTAGAAAGAGTGCAAGCATGAGGGAGTTGCTGGGGGCTGGGAGGAGGCTCAAAGGATAGGAATCGTCTGACCAGGGCATGGCAGCTGGGTTTTATTCTGCAAGGAGCTGAAGGCCAGTGGAAGGCTTGATGTGTCCGGCCTGGGTTGTGCTCTATATCACTATGGCTGCTTGTGCAGGCTGGCTTGTCTAGGGACCAGGGCAGGAGACCAGTGAGCAACTGTGGTGTGTGGACAGGGCCGGGACTAGGTGTGGCAGTCATGACACCCAGCCACGCCTGGTGGGCGGGTAGGATCGTTGCTTCACAGCTCGCCTAGTCATCAAGATCGCTTGCTGGGGCCAGGGGCGTGGCTCAGTGGTACAGCGCTTGCCTAGCATGCTTGAGGCCCTGGGTTCCATCGAGCACTGGCAGGGGCCGGGGGGGGGGGGGGGTCCTTAATGTTTAGCCAGCACTCCTACCCCGCCTCACCTTTGCTCCTCTCCACACCCTCCCCTGGGCTGACGATGCTTGGTGTTCCTGCATCGCTCCCCAAATCCTCCTGGGCTCCCCAAATCCTCTCACTCAGATTCTGTGCGGCCACATGACAGCAGCTAACACCTCTGTCTTCCCTCACCTTCTAAGGCAGCCCTGCCAGACCCCCGTCACGCCTCTCTCCCTCCCACTGGGAAGGGGCTCCATAGGCGTCTGGCCTTCCAGGGCGGGGATCAGATGCAGCACCCAGCGCTACCCACAGTCCTCTGGGATGGCCGGCTGCCCTCCCTCTGCAGTCTCCTGCCCTTGTGTTATCCTGTCCAACAGTGAAGGAGCTTAACGGTCAGACGGTCCTCACTTAGGGTGGTTCCTTTTATAACCTTTGGACTTTGTGAGGTGGAAAAGCACAGCCACGCGGCCAGGGCTAAGTGGCTACCCACACTTCCTGTGAGTCAGGCTCTGTGCTGCGTGACTTTGCCCCACCCTGAGGCTAACATAAGTGTCCTGGGAACAGTTTCAGTGACGAGGCTAAGCTGTGATGTTTGGTAGGTTAGATGCAGTAAAAGCGCATTGGGTTTAATATTTTCAACTTGCGCTGTGTTTCGGATAAGGGATGCTTAACCAAGCTTAACCGCTTTCCGTCCATCCTGCCGTCACAGCCTTACTCTAACCCTGGCAAGGTTTCACGGCCAACCCTGAGCTGAAACCAAAAGAGCATGAAGAAGCCACTGCACTCTTCCTCGGGAGTCCCCATCCCTCCACTACCACACGTGCTGTGGCCCTACTGTGTGCCACACATTAGGGAAAGGCACAGCATCGGGGGGGCTCTTTCTCCTGGGAGCACAAGGTCCAGGCAAAGGAAGGCCCTGTCCTTCAATGGCTTTGATCACGTTATGATGCTGTGGTCTCCGTCCCTCTGAACAACCAGTCACAGTGCACATTAGTGCACGGAAGGCTCGGGCAAGTCCTGCAGCAAAGAAACCCATCTGACTTTGTCGGACAAAAGCTTGTTTACAAAATGTATTTGACCTCAGGAAGTTTTGATTTTTTTTTTCTTCTGAATTCCTATTTAACACCCCACTGAGCTAGCCAGAGAGGAAAACCCCAGTTGTATGAAACCAGGAATGTACTCTACGCTGCTGCTCTGAGGAGGGGATATTTTTAGTTACCAGCTATATAGAGAAAAGACTGCCATCAACTTTGGGTAATAACACTGACCTTGGCTTATTAAAAATGTATGAAAGACCAGCCGAATCTGAGAAGCATATTGTAGCAATGATAACAGGGAGTCACGGATGTCAGCACCGGACAGGCCTGGGCAGCACAGGTAGGGGAGCAGCCCGTCCAAGGCCAGGCGATTGTCCCTCCCTGACCCCAGCTCTGCTCAGGCCCCATCCTGTCTTCTGTAGGAACACGAGATGTCCTGGCCTCTGCAGTCCCTGGCCTAGCTCTAGAAGGAGCCAGAGGCCCCTCTTCTTCCTGATGACTGCATCAGCTCTGGGTGATGCAGATGTGCGTGTGCGTGTGCGTGTGTGTGTGTGTGTGTGCAGCACTGGGGGTTGAACTCAGGGCCTCAAACCTGTGAGGCAAGCGCTCTGCCCCTTGAGCCACACTCCAGTACCCCAACCATCGTATTTTTGAAAATGCAGGGTTTTTTTCAATAACAAACTCATCAAACCTGCCATCTTAAAAAATTTAAAAAGTGCATTCATCTAAAGAGATTATTGGTAAATAAACAGATGAACACAGTAGGACCAGCACATGCAAAAGAGTGGAGTGGGGCTCTTTCCTTGCTGTCTACAAAAATTAACTCACAATGTCAGAGCTAAACCCCACCCCCCCCCACCCCCCCCCCCCCCCCCCCCCCCCCCCCCCCCCCCCCCCCCCCCCCCCCCTCCCCCCCCCCCCCCCCCCCCCCCCCCCCCCCCCCCCCCCCCCCCCCCCCCCCCTCCCCCCCCCCCCCCCCCCCCCCCCCCCCACACACACACACACACACCCCCCCCCCCGCCCCCCCACCCCCCCCCCCGCCCCCCCCCAGCCCCCCCCAGAAAACGCTCAGCAGGAAACATGAAGAAAGGTGTTCATGACTCTGGATTGAGCAACAGCGTCTCAGATGATATGAGAAGCAAAGAAACTGAGAGAAAAAATAGGTAAATTGCACTTTATCAACCAAACATTTTTGTGCTTTGAAGGACACTATCCAGAGGGCTCACCGCTGAAATCTCAGTTACTAGGCAGGAGGATCACAGACCGAGGCTGGCCTGGGCAAAAGCATGAGACCATCTGAGAAACAACTCAAGGAAAAAAGGCTGGGGAGTGGCTCAAGCCATAGAGCACCGGCCTAGAAAGCATGAGGCCCTGAGTTCAAACCCCAGTACCACCAAAAAGAAAGAAAAAGAGAGAGAGAGAGAAGAAAATCTAGAGAATGGGAGGAAATCTGTGCAGATCTCATACCTGGTGACTGGAGTACAGAATCTATAATAAGCAATAAAATAGAGAGAG